TTTTTGAGGAACTGCCAACCTGTTTCAGCGGTCACTGTACCATTTCACATTCCCACCTGCAGGGCGCTAGGGCTCCGATTTTCCTACATCTTTACCAGTGCTTGTTATTAAGAGGGACTGGAGCACCTGATTCATTTGTCCCCCTGCCAAAGGGAGGCAGGTAGGGCTTGGCCAGCAGCCCTCTGCCCTTCCGCTCGCTTCTCTTTGCTCTCCATTGGTCGGGGACAGCGTGCCTTGTCGTCCTCCTCGGCGACCTAGTGATGTCTGCCCTGGCTGTCCCAGGGCCACTTCTCCCGCCGGGCCGAGTGGCACCCCTCCCCCACTCCCGACAATACCGCTGCCTCGTTGAAGAAGGGAGGGGCGTCCCGGCCTCGCTGAGATCAGGAGGGGGCGGGATCTGGGCCCCTTATTTGCATACCCAGCAGGCCCGGCAAGCTCTCAGCCCCGCTCCTCCTAGGCCTGCAGCTGCTTTGTAAGCAGCACTCCCTGCCCTGCCACTTAGGTTACTCTAGGAGGGTTCTCTCCTGGGTACTGAACCTCTGAGCTGCAGCACAGGCCCGCTAAGAGAGGTTCACTGTGATGCTCCTGATTCATTGCTCAGGGAGAATGAGCTCCAAAAGTCCTACGCATACACTTGGGATTCTTATCCTGAGTAGCACGGACAGAGCCAGCGTTTCCGAAGGGACAGCAATAAACACTCAGAGCTCTTAGCACTGAAGAGCTCTACAGACCAGCAGCTGATGGAGAAACTCCCAGTAGAGTCGAACTGTTGTGTCCAGCGTGAGTGGGCATCGGATGGCGACGGCAGGCAGTGGCAGTCACCAGCAGCTGGCCTCCAGCATTACCTGGTGGCCTCGGGACTGCTGACAGAGCTGCACTTTGCTGACTGCTGATTTTCACCTCAACTGAGTAAAAGAATCCTAGGCTGTTTGGCGACATTACCACTAGTCTTTTAGATTACAGCGATAGTGGGGGGTATGGAATGGTATCTCTTTGTGGTTTTGATTTGTACTTGTCTGATGAGTAACATCACGGAGACTTTGCATGTGCTTATTGATCACTGGTGCATCTTCTTTGGGGAAATGTCTATTCAAATGCTTTGCTCATTTCACAAATGAGGGTGTCTTCTTTTTAATCAGTTATGAGCTTTATATGTCCTGCAGGTAACAGACCATCATCAGATATATTTATAGTTTCCAAATAGTCTCTCCCACTCTGTGTTGGATGGCTTTTAACTTCCTTGATGGTGTCCTTTGAAACATAAAAGTTCTCCTTCTGGTGAAGTACAATTTATCTATCTTTTTCTTCTGTGACTTGCCTTTCTGTGTTATATCTAAGAAACCACCGCTCAATCTAAGGTCACAACAATTTAGCCCCTGTTTTTTCTTCTAAGAGTTTTGTAGCTTTAAAGCTCTTGGTTTAGGTCTTTGATCTTTTTTTCAGCTAGTTCTGTGTTTGATATAAGGTAGAAGTTTGCGTCTGATATGAGGTATGGGGTCTAACACATACAAACATACCTGTGTTGTGTGGATGGTTTTAGAAAAGACTATTGCTCACTGAATTGTCATGGAGACTTTTTTGAAAATGACTTGACCATAAATGTTAGGGTTATTTTTCAACCTTCAGTTCTATTCCATTAATCTATGCCAGTACCGCACCGTCTCGATTACGTAGCTCTATGGATAAGATGCAAAGTGTGAACCCTCCAACGCAGCTCTTGTGAAAGACTGTCTTGGCTATTGTAGGTCTTTTGGCTGTACACATTAATTTTAGATTTGGCATGTTAATTCCTGTGAAAAGGTTGCTGGGAATTTGCTGTGGATTGTGTTCCATCTGTATACAAATCTGAGGAGTACAGCCAGCGTTAGGGTGCAGTAGTGGTGACTACCTGTGTCGTCTGTCTTGCCAGTCTATTCTTCTTATAGTCCTTCAGCTAGAGAGAGTAGACCATTTTGGGCACACCCAGCTTCTTCAGCAAATGAAGTAAAAGACACCCTGGAACTCACCACCGTGTCATTCCCTGGGTCCCGAGCCCCCTAGTCAGTCTGCCTCCTTCTCCCCACCTTTTAGAGTCTTGGGGATTTTCAGTTGGTTTTGTTTCTCAAGTTGCTTTCAGTTGTGCTTGTGAAAAGAATAAGGAAGTGTGTGGCTACAGCATCTTCCCAGAAAGGGAAGCCAACCATGTCGTCCTTTAAAAGTTATTTTCTTCATAACTACCTGATCTTGTTAGGTGATGCCTTTTCCTTCACCATCTCTGTGTTTTCCACAAACCTTACTCCTTTGTTGTTTTCACTGAGCATCCCAAATGTGCTTAAACTCTTTTTTCCCCCCAGATTATTCTGGTATTAAAAATTCATCTGGAGTTAACTCATGCTATGGCTACTGACTTCGCTGACTATTATTCATAGCATTAGATGACATCATGGGCTTTAGAGTTTTGGCTTTTAAGCTAATTTTGGGTGAGAAAACTTTCTCTCAGCTGCCCCATTGGATCCCTGGTCTGCAGTACAGAAATGTTGTTTTTTATTGGCAGTTCAGCATCATGACCTTCCATGGCGTGTTCAGCAATCTGGGGCCACAAGGCCCATGAGGTTGTGCCTGTATTCTTCCTTGTCTGTCTCAGGACTATACCTTTACATTTCATTCCTATGATGAATCAGATTTCTTAGACTCCCAACACAGGGGTGATTCTTCTCTCCCCTAATCCCAGGCTTCAACAGGAAACTTGGCTCAGCTCCCACTCTTGTGTCCCTATTATGCCTCAGGACCTAGAGCCACGCAGGGCCAGGGCTGGTCCAATACTCAGTAGCCTGTGTCTCTAGACCCTAGTAAAATTTATCTTGTTTTCAAGCCCAGCCAAATCCTTTAATGGTCTCTTTGTCTAATTTGTGGGCCTGTTCACAGTAGAGACAGGCACTTCAGAGCATGGGTCCTAGCAACACCCGGATCAGGATATATTCTTATTCCGCTTTTCTTATTTTGAAGATTCTGTAGTTTTTATTTTCCTCTATTTTAAAGTGCTGCCACATTGTGTCCTATTTGACATAAGGTAAAATACAAATAAATGGTATTTCTTCAATTTAATTTTTTTTTTCATTTCTGACATTCAGGTGCACATCACAGTCAAGTCACTTGGGAATTTTTCTTTAGCATGTCAGCCATGTCTGGAGTGACAGCAGACACTGCACTCTTGTGCAAAGCATCCAGGGATCTGGGGAGGTGCAACTTTGGCACTGAGGGAGAGAGACTGAGGGGTGTCTCCCAGGAGTGGATGGGGGTTCTTGTGTTTTGAAGAATTGGGAGAAGTCCAGGCCACTTTCTGCTTTTGAAGTTGCTGACCTCAAGGTTAATAGAGTTCCCGCCACCCTGTGATTTGGGAAAGATCTCATGGAAGCAGTTGAAGGCCACACTCTCTTTGTTCTTTTCCTGTCATGCTTAATCCCCTGGAGGTTTTCAGCTGGTCACAGAAATTGCACAATTTGGAAGACTGGGACACACGTAACCCTCCCAGTGCTGGCACCCCCACACCACTTCCCATCTTGGAGTGACAGCTATTGGGGGGAAGTGGATCCCACTCCATCCCAGGCCGCCCACGGAATGCAGGCCTGCTCTGGAAAGACTGGCACGGTGGCTGTGTTTTCTCTCTGGCCAGGACTCATCTTGGAACTCCCAAGCATCTCAGCAAAAGCTGAAAAGGCATCCAGATCCTGGATCGAATAGTGCATACCCTCTGGTCTGATAATTTCTCTCCTTGGCATTGACCCCAGGAAGTCTGCAGAGAAAGAGTGGGGTATATACACCAGTAGTTTATAAAACTTGTGAACAGTAAGACAGAGATCTATCAAAACAGGCATAGTTGAATAAAATGTGGTAAGTGATTTCAGGCAGTAACTGAAACCATGTTTTCAAAGTATCTTTACTCAAAATTCAATGTTCTGTTAAGATTAAAAAACAGCTCATAAGGCACAAAATAGTATTTCATTCAATAAATGAATAAAGAAAATGTGGTATTATATACACAATGGAGTACTACACAGCCACAAGGAAGGATTCATTTATAGGAAAATAGATGGATCTTGAGCCCCTAAAGCTAAGTGAAATAAATCAGATACATAAATACCATGAGGTTTCTCTTATATGAGAAACCCAAAATATAAATAAGTTAAAGAGCAAAATAAGATGATAGGAAGCAGGGAGTTAGAGATTCTGGAGATGAGAAGGGGATCTCAGGAATGGGGAACACTTTGAAAAGTAAAAAATGGCGCTTTATAATGGGACATATCTTGGGAAAATGACAGGAATTACAGAAATATTACCATTTGCTATCTTTAGATGACTGAAAAGGTTTGAAGACTTCTCAAGACTTGCTACGATACACATATACTCCACTGAATTTATATTCAAGTTAAATAAGAAGTCAACGTCATTTAAAATACAATTACATCTACAAAAGGAGCTTTGCAAGCAGTCTTGGGAAGGATCAGAGAAAAGCAGTAATACAACAACCACAACTATACTCATCGTTGATTGGCTGCTGAGGCAAGCGGGCCATCCCCAGCCCCTGAGAGGCGGGCTCTGCGTCACTTCCGGGGGCGGAACGCCAGAGTCACCCCCCCTGCTCTGGAGCGGGCGGTCTCCATGGTAACCAGCGGGGCTCGCGCGAGGTCCCTCGGTCC